AAAAAGAGACCACTTTTTTCCCTATAAAAACTCTAAAAAACGCGGGTTTTTTGGTACATCCTTTAGACAGTTTTCAGTGTGTTTTAACCCAAGAACTCTGTTTAAAAATCTTTTAATATATATAGTTTTGTAGAGCTCGACGAGCTCTATCGAATCATGTAAAAATATCAAAGAAAAACATTTTATTCGATTTTTGAATTACTGGCACCTTACTTTCCCATCCAAAAAAAAGTATAAAATTTCTGAAAGTTTCTTAAGTTCGATATTAAAAAGTTTTTATAACCCTCACTATTTAGTATCAATAAACCCCATTTTTGACGAGCTTTCATTGGATATAAAATTCATTATGTCTTCTATTTGAAATCATAGTGGTGCCCCGCCCCGGAATAATATTTTTACCCACCTAGTACATGTCACATTTTATGTTAAACTGAAAGCTGAATTATATTTGTTAATTTTTTGTATCACCTCGTTTTCTATAAATTGTTATCTTATATACTTTTGATTGTTGAATATAACACAATGACTATTATCGATTATTCAATTTGAAATTTGTCACAACGTGTATATAAAAATCGGGCAATTGTTGAATGCTGAAAAAACTTAATACACATACATGTACAAAGACTTACATGATGTCATTTTAATACATTATATCTTTTTCTCATCTAGTCAAGCGATCCAGAAAGATTAACTGACTACTTTTTTTCCATTACATCGATGCTCACAATGATGACAATTCAATGATATTTTTTTTTGTTAAAATACTGGTTATTCCACTTAAATTTGCTAATGATTCTATTTGTGCTTATTCATGCTTTTTGATGTAGAGAGTAACGATCTTCTCTTCAATAAACATCAGTTTTTGTGATGGTAACAATTTTATAAGAAAACCGTAGTCCAATTTATTTTTAATTATCCATCGTTACTCACTCCTCAAAATATTTTACGTGAAAAACTATCCATGACTTAAAAATGACTGGCTATGTCACTGTTACGCATATAATTTATTCGTCACAAGACTGACATCATTTGATGACAAGAATTCATCAATTAATTGTCGATTGAATGGTAAAATAAACTAGATGAATTTTTGGTACTTATAAATATTATGTCATCATAATTGGTTTTCGTCACCATTGTCATTTTCTATTCAGTTATTAAGCATTTGATGCTCAATTATCTCATTTGGATGTTGACAAAAATAATAAGACCTTATTTTTACATTAAAATATTTGCTGGTGAATGGTAAACCTGGCATTTCGTGTTGGTCTAGTGAAATACTAATGAAAATTAATCTCAATAACATTGTATATATAATGTGTTTCGATAGATACGTCTTCTTGAGTATAAAATAAAATATTTTTCGATTAGCTACTGATGATTTTACATGAGAATTTCTAATTGACTCACATAAATATTCATATATACCAGCATAGCTAATACAACCATGTTTTCTCGATTGAAATACTTCTACTGATTAATCACTCTCAGTTTTTTTCTAAAATATGATACAAAATCAGTCTTCATATTATGCATAACCCAATAAAAACAGACCCATGACAATCGATCAAAGTTTCTTCCTTTGAAGATACTTTCATAGTCTGAAATGGATTTGGTGTAAAATGTAGACAATAAAAAAAATACCGTAGAGGAAACTGTAGAAAGTGAAACTATTAAGTGAAAAAAAGCATGAACATGAAAAATGCTAAAAAAGAAACATCAAAAGATCCAATGTTGAAAATGAAGTTTGTCTATTCTATTAATATTAACGAAAAAAAAAAATTTTATTAAAGCAATGAAAAAGACAACAGAAAAGAAACGATAAAGTATATCATTGTTGTAATTTAACGAAAAGGTTGAGTTTTGAATTATCAATTGAGAAATATGCTCGATGCCAAGAACAGCAAGATTTTGTTAGACATCATTCGAGACGTTGAATTCTATTGAGTAAACTGTTGTATATGTAGAGATTCGAGAAGTTCAATGAACTTGTTACAAAATTTTAAATTTAAATTTAAGAATCAATTATTGATAATTATAGAATATGGATATGGATGTATAGGTATAGGCGAAGTGGAGATCCTCATCCATCCACATCCAACCTTTTTCAGACTATATTGATGGAAAATGAAATATATTAGAATACATACACACACCTTATTTTTCTCTTTTGCTTTCTGTACTTACTGTAATTTTTGACAGTCGATCAACAAGACCCGGTGATAGCGGGCAAAAATAACTTCTTCTTGTCCTCTCATTCAGACTCACTATCAAAAATCACAATCACAACAGAAAAGGAAGAAGGAACATAAAGTTTTAAAAAATGTACATCGACTATTGAAGCGTCATGAAAAAGAAAAGACTGATATTCTATGATGACTAGGAAAATATTTACCAATCATTGCGTCAATTACCTTGCTTGTCTAGATGACTTAGATGAATTGCGTAATTTATTTTGATGAATAATTATTTACTTTTGTCATATTATAACTTTCGAAATTTTCTTATCTAAAATTGCGAAAACGACTGTCAGTTAATCATAGTGTTTTACCTTTCAAATATGACCTTTGTTAATTAACACATATGTAAATAAATCAAATGATAGTAACAACAGTTTTCTTTTTATTCAAGAATAGATTGTACTGAAAAATTTGACACAAAGCAAAAAAAAAATTTACCAACTGTGTTAAATATATAAATATTGTGGTTCGAAATTTCGAATAGGTCGAGAAGATCGACGTGCTAATGGTTGATTAGAATAACTTTGTCTTAAATTCACTTTTGGAGCTCGAACTAATACTTGTTCTGGTACTTTTTTATTTTGATCATTATCTAATGTTGATGAATGATCATTTGTTTTCTTTTGTTTTTGTTTTTTTTTGTTTTCATTAATTAAATCGGCTGTTTTTGGAAATTGTGGCGCTTGAAGAATAGGTAAAAATCTTGGAGCAGCAACAGAACGATGATTAGATGGAATACGAGAAACTGTTTTAGGTAATGATAGTGTTGGTTGAAGTGGAGTTCGTTGATGTGCAACACGAGCGGAAGACATTTTTATTAAAGTGAGAATAGTGTGGACAAGCCCAACAATCTTTCGATATATAATAATATTTACGGTGTACTTTCTTCTACGCCATTACCTTGCACGTGAAAAGAAAACCCTGACATATTGAAAAGTACGTCATGCGTATCTATATCGTTAAAATGTTGTACGTCAACAGAAAAACTGATAGAGCATTTTTACAGGTATACATGCATGGCATATTCTAGAAAAAATTATGAATAATTACATTTAAAACCAAATTGTGTATTAGTCATTTAATAAGCATAAAAAATAATCAAAACTAATTTTTATATCAACAGTTTGTTGCTTTCATAGATTTTGAAAAGATAAATTCGCGAATTTTTGTTTTGTTTTGTTTAAGTAATGAATAATAAAAGTTTTTCAATTTATTATTAGTATTTATCAAGACATATAGATCAATGAAAGACGGCATTATACAAAACCTTGAAAAATGCTGTTTGAATCAGATACATATATTGAGTAAAGTTCTTGAATATTTGTTGTAAATTATTATCAAATTATTTACTGTTAAGAAAATAAATGAGGAATTCGTATTCTTCTCTAACTTACATTTTTTAATGCAATGTTTATTTTGAATTGACCATATACTTTCTCTTTCAAGCCATCACTACATTTTTCAAACATTAGACTAGTCAAAATGTAGACTTGAATCATATTCCATCGCATTAAATAATAATAGAGTACAATTGTGATAGAACTTTTTTTTTCTTCTTAAAGATACTCGAAATGTTTCACGATGATCATTTGATAACAAATACGTTGAAAATACTGTATTTATTTATAAAAAAAAACCAAGATGATTATGTTAGAATGTACCATTAAGTAAAAAGATCCTTTCTTTTAACTATATGAGTAATACTAATGTTTGTTTTTTTTTTGGTAGATTGATGATTAAGTGAACATCTTTTCTTTCCTTGTATCGAAAGAAAAAAGAATGTAAGCAAGACGATAACATACAATAAAACACTTTTTTTTGTCATTTCTTAAGTAAATAGAATCAAATATTTTATTCATTCGAGTAAATAAACAATAGATATTTGATTTATTATTAAAAAAATGATTATCTAAAAGTACCATTTGTTGAATATTCTATTTCGTCATCTTCGTCTTTAACAATCAGTAGTGAAAAATAATCAATTATCGAGGAATTTTTCTATTTCTAGGAGATATTTGCTTATAACTCATATGTAAAGGGTATCGAATAAAAGGATGAACACGTACTCTAACAAGTAACAATAATGCTCGAATTGGTATTACGCCATAAGGAAAGAAAAACGTGTGCCATTTTATAAATAAAGTAACAATAAAAGAACAAATATCATCAGAAGTTTGTTTATCTTACGCAATTTACTATTTATATATACATGTATATGACATTATTATAAACCGTGGGTGAGAAAAAACGGCTAACTGAGAAAAAAAAATGATATGATGCGTAACAAAAAATGTTCTTTCTTTTTCAGGAAAAAGCCAATTCAATATCGTATTAATTAATATTGATCTTTACAGAAAAAAAACCGAAGAGCAAATGTTCGTCTATAGAAATACTGATAAATGAAGAGCTCTTATATGTTGAGTATGTTTGCTAATAGGAAAAATGATTGTGCATATTTATATGGTTCCTATTTCACGTTTTTTTTTCATTAATGTATTCAATTTATCGAATATATATGTTAGAAATAATAAAAAGAGAAAACATTCGATCTACATGAAACAGGTATTATTTTAATCAGATTGAATTATCGTTTTTTGGCACAGGTTGGAATTCATTTGGAAAATTGATTTATTAATGAGTTTCATATTGTGTCAAAATCGATTAATCAAGAAATACTATTAGTTTTATTTTTAACATTATGTCAATGCAGACTTTTTCAGTCGATCTTATTTATTTTTGTGTTTGTGCAACATCTTTAGATCAAATTTCATACGTTTTAGGTGTATATTATTCAACTTGGATAAGTATAAAAATAATACATGCGTATTAACCGATGAGAAAGTCACGTTCGTTCTATTTTATTTTCACTAATGCATGAAGAAAAGCGGTTTACATCATCAAGATTATGTAGCTCAACTATCACATACTGATCTATGTACTTAGCTATTCTTATAACTGATGAGTTTATGTCTCGAGACATATATGTCAAAAGGCAGTAGACCGTTTTGTTTAAACCAGATTAGCTATCGTTCAAGTATTGTTCTCATATAACAAATGTAGAAGCTTATATGTCTCTTATGAAAAGAATGAATTTGACTTTAGAAGATACATATATGTAGAGTGGACTACTGAGCCTATCTGAGCTGCTTACATTTCTCTATTGTTACATGTGTAAAAATCTGATCTTATACAAATATCGTCGTTTAATCAATATAGAATATATGCAGTTGCGTCAGCTTAAGAACCATACGATTCAATTATTGAGAACATTAAATGCAATCCTACAGAAGTACTAAGATGATAATGATGATTATGCAGCGTGAGACAACGAAAAAAGTATATAATAAAAACAAAACAAGCTACATAGAACAATAGGAGAAGAGGTGAAGGGATCAAATAAACTATAGTCAGGATTTAGAGAAAAACGAATTAATAGGTGGAGAAATAAAAATGTGCGCACATAAACAATTTGTTTTCCATTAATCATTTTCACAAGTAACAGCTCTTACTCGTTCAGAGTAGGAGAAGACATATTTCAGCCAGATCGAACAAAATATTATACATAGAAAAAAAGAAAAGAAATAGAATCTTTTTCTTTTTTTTTTTAAAGAAGAACCATGATTACTCATTATTATCAAATATATTTTTTTACAAGTGAGTTGTCATTTCGTTTTTTTTTTGTTTTATATGCAATCTACGACATTGACGAGTATTTATGCATATATATATATATATAAGAAATGTCATTGAAATATCGATCCGTATTAAAACTACGATTAATCACGGTCAATCGTTATTGCTCTTATTAGTAAATGTCCTCGAAAGAAACTTTGTTCTTCAAATATTTTATTCAATTAATGATAAAAAATGATAATCTCTTCAGCTATTCTTTCAACAATTGATACACATTGAATAATGAAAGATAATGTATATTTACAAGGTTATCCTTTCAAGTACATATTTTATGAGTGACTTTTTTTTATATATTTGGTTATGGATTTTAGTCTTTCTTTCATTCTTAGTTAATTAATTGAACACACAAAGAAAAATCTCATCAACCTGTACACTAATGAGATAGAACGAAAGTTAATTGAGACATTGACATGATCGACGCACAGGCATAGTTAGAACATGTATGTAGAAGTACTACTAAGATTGAGCTCGTCAATATTTACATCACGAACAAAATGAGAAGGCGACTAATTGTTGTAATATTAGTGGTCACAATCAAAAGAAATGAGGAAGACAAGAGAAATCTGTATGCATTGTGAACACGTCTTGCGTGTTACACATTTGGTCACTAAATATGAAGAAGTGACGGGCATAAAATGTCAGATTAAGACGGCGGCGCCGTGTTACTCAGAAGAACGTGATGTAATTGGAGATCATCGGGCTCGCAAAAAACGAACAAAATCTTAGTAGTCGTGTGTAATTGTTCGATGGCGCGTCACGTACGCAATCTATGTGACATAAAATACCTAGGAATGGTAGGGAAGGTCAGCAACGAACGAGTTAAGTAACAACGAAATAAGAAAAAAAAGATTCAGCGCGAACATCAAATTCCTTTTCTTGTGTTTCTCCAATTAATTTCTCTACCTTCCCTCTCTCTCGGTCTCTCTTTAATCCTTCTTCACTTATTGTGTTAAGAAAAAGTGAGTAAGAGAGAGAGAGAGAGAGAGACAGAGAAAGAGCTAACTGGTTGGTGGTATTTGACAGTGAATTAGAAGAAGTGACTTTACCAATGGAATTCGGTCGACTAAGGAGTGGGCGTTAGAGATAAAGATTGAGAAGAAAGAGAGAGAGAGAGAGAGAGAGAGAGTAAAAAAAAGAAATAGAGAGAAGAGATAGAGAGCTTTGTGACAATCAGTAATTTGTCAACTTGCAAAGTGAGCGACAGCTGAGCTCACTATCACTCAGTTAACTTTCTTGGTCTTTTTAAAACATACATATTATTTATTCTATGATGAACCGGAAGTTCATCATTGGTAAGTAAACGCAAAGGATATCTTGATAAAACATTGAAGACTATATACATATATATTTAATAAAATAGGTTTGCTAAGTGTTTTATCAGCAATAACAATTTATTTGCCTGATGAAGTAGCATCATTTACTCGTTGTCCTGAACGTGGTACAACAGAATTACCAACAATATCTTATTATTCGGATGAAAAATTTTGTAATGTGTATCATAAATGCAATTGTTCTCTTGTGGAATGTCGCGTAGTCGAATCTCATGTTTGTCCAATTGCAAAAGTTTATTCAAAAACTAAAGCAACTTGTTTAGGTTTGTAAATGAAAAGTTTATCTCTGTTTACTTCCTAAAAAAAAAACTATTTCTCTTCTATTTTCAAGACATTGAAGAAGAAGGTTGTGAATCAACATATGTACAATGGGTACAAACACATAGTAGTAATACTGATGAAAACAATGGTAAAGTTGCTATTATGATATCTGATTCTCTTCTTCCATCAACAACAAGTAAAGATTTTGAATGTGAACAAGGTCAACCAGGCAAATTTAGGTAAATAAATAATAATTTGTAAACAATGTAGTTTTTATTCGATTGGTTTTATTTTTTATTAAAAGTGATCCAAATATTTGCAATATATTTCATGTTTGTATAACTCGAAATGAAAAAACAGTTGATCAACCATTTATGTGTCCATATCCAACTGTATTTAAAACTGGTTCATCAGGAAAAATGTTTTGTGCACGACCTGAACCAAATGATTGTCAAGGTAAAGCTTTCTATCGTACAATGGAAGGATCTACAAATATGGCAAAAAATATTCATAATGATAATGATGATGCAACCAGTTATCGTTTACCTGAAAATACTCTTATAATTGAAAAATGTTTACAATCAGGTTTATATCCTGATAGTCTCTATTGTAATGCTTATCATAAATGTACAAACAAAGGTGAAGATGAACAATATTTATGTGAAAATCAATTATTATTTAATCCTGAATCGAATATTTGTGATTATCCAATAAATGTCGTTTGTGGAGGTAAGAAAAAAAAAACATTAACTCAGTTCGATTAAAGTATTGATTACATAATCGAACATAACACACAAAAAGAGATTGGTATTTACATTGATTAAATTTAACTTTTTAGGTAAAGGTTTACTTCGTCGTCCAACAGGTTTTTCAAATGGTACGCTTGTTAATTCCTCATATATAATGGTATATGGTACAGAATTACGTCCTGATTGTCCATCACATGTATCAAATGTTCTTGTTGCTGATGTTAATTATTGTAATGTTTTCTATCATTGTCAATCAGGTCATGGATCAGTTTATATGTGTCGTGATGGAACCGTATTTGATTCATTAAATCAAGAAGGTGTTAGTTCATGTCGTGCAGAAGACTTAATTGATTGTGGTAGTCGTTTAATTTTAACACCACAAGGTAAACGTTTATCATCGTATAAAAAAAATGATAGACCTGTATCAAATGTAAATTTATTTGGCATGGATAATAATTATGTAAAAGAAAGAAAACTATCATTTAATAACAATAATAATAATAATAATAATAAAAATAATAATAATAACAATAACAATAATAATAATAATAATAATAATAATAAACTTAATCTTAATCTTAATTCACAATATTCAAATTTTATTTTATTACCACCACCAATGCATAATCAAAAAGTTGTTGTCGATGTACCATTTGATTGTAAAGGACGTATTGATGGTCATTGGCGTGATACACGTTATTGTGATGTATTTCATGCTTGTATTGCTGGTGAACAGAAACGTTCGTATGGTTGTAATCAAATAGGTGAACGATTTTACTTTGATGATGCATCACAAAAGTAATAAAAAAAAACTAGAAATGTTTAAAGAAAACTTTAGTTTTGCATCGGTTTCTTATTTTATTTAGATGTGAATTTGCTAGTAGAAATCCAAATGGTTGTCAATCAAATCAATATTATACACCAATTGAGCCAATACCATCTATACCAGGATCACAATTAAGTACAGGTAAGATAATAGATTTTATATATTCCACGAAAATCAATTGACAATATTTTTTTTTGTTTCTCTAGAAGCACCAACAGAACCATGGAAAATATTTATTCAATCACGTGAACAATTTACTTGTTCAGGTAAATTAACAAATAATTTATTTTTATATTGAAAAACAAAACAACTATTATTTCTCTTATATCAATAGGAAAACAAGATGGTTTCTATGCCAGTCGTTGGTGTAATGTATTTTATCGATGTTATACAGGTATAGCTAGTGCTTTTCTATGTCCAAAAATGCCAAGTGGTGCTCGATTATGGTGGGTACAACATGGTTCACCACAAGGCGTTCCACAAGAAACAGCTGCTTGTACATGGCCATGTGAAACAGGTCGACGATGTTCAAGTTCAGGTGGAATTATTGTTGATTCAGGTTCAACAGTTGGTGAAAATCAACAAGAAGCTGAAACTGTTTTTTCACAATCACTTTGTACAACATCATCTTCATCCTCTTCCTCCTCATCATCATCGGGTAGTTTTACGCCAGGTACAAGCTCAGGTGGATCAAATAGTGGTACTTTTGTACCACAATCATCAATGACTGGTGGAACATCAAGTTCAAGTGGTGTTGGAACAACAGGAGGTGGAGTTGGTAGTATGCCAGGTGGACCTTCATCAACGTTGGGTGGTAAATTCATAGAGATTAGAGAGAAAATTTCAAAAATTGATCTGTTTTTATTTTCTTTTTGCAGCCACATTTACTGTTGATTCGGATGTAAGTTGTATTGGACAAGCTGATGGTGTTTTTCTTGGAAGTCGTTATTGTAATGTATTTCATCGTTGTGTTAGTGGTACTCGACGAGATTTTCGTTGTCCTCGTGCAACAAATACACCATATGATCTTTGGTGGAATCAACAAACTCAACAATGTGATTGGCCATGTAAGTTTGATATTTGTAAATTAAATTAATTCATTTCAATTGAATTTAAGGTCGAATTCAATGTACTGGTTCGGTTTATGGTACATCAACATCAGCTCAACAAGTTCGAACAGAAAATGCTTTATTATTTAGTAATGAATGTGCTGGTTATCAAGTTAATCTTCATTCACAAGTTAATACTGGTATTCTCAATAGTCAAGCAATGGTTTATTCATCAATACCTCATGAACATGAACCAACACGTAATTCAATGGCAAAATTAATTGAAAATCCTGATCCAAATTTTATTTGTACACAATCTGGTAAATTTCCAACACGACGTTATTGTAATGTTTATTATGAATGTTCTGACGCTGGTTTACCACCTGTACAAACATATGAATGTATTGATAGTTTCTTTGATCGTAGTCAAGGTTTATGTATGCCAAAAGATCAAGTACCATGTTTAGGTGGTATATATCCATATGATTCAGTACCTATTGATCGTAATCCTGATTCATTACAATGTTCAATTAATTCTGGTTTTCAATTACATACATCAAGACAATTTTGTAATATTTATTATTTATGTGATGGTACACAAACAACACCAACAACATTTCGTTGTTTTGATCGTCAAACTCAACAAGAAGGTATATATGATCCATTTGCTGAACGTTGTGATTCACGACGAAATTCAAATTGTCAAAATGCTATATTAAATTTAAGTCATACACAATTATATCGTTCTGTATCAATTGATCATACACGTTTACCTGATTTAACTATTTTACCATGTAAATATGATCAACAATATGTTATTGAACATGAACAATATTGTAATTTATATCATGTATGTAAACATGGTAATTATCATTTATATGCTTGTATATCAAATGGTGAGGATAATCAACCAGCATCATATTTCTATCAACCAAATGGTCAATGTGCTGCACCATTAACAACATTATGTCCTAAAACAAAACATATTTTTAGTTATGGACGTTTATTAGCAACAGCAAATAGTGAAATATTTCAGCCATTTATTATGCCTGAACAACAACAACAACAACAACAACAATATAATTATGGTTCAATACCAATTCAAGAACGTGTTGAACCTATTCCAAAATGTCGTTCAACAGATAATTATATTATTTCACATGAACGTTATTGTAATTTATTTTATGGTTGTAAAGAAGGTGAACTTATACTTTATGCATGTGTTGATCGTTTAACAAATACATATGGTGGAATATTTCAATCATCAACTGGAAATTGTATATCACCAAATGATAATATAAATGAATGTTTAACAAATGAATTTTTTCGTCCAACAATTATTCCAACAACACGTTTATATCCAAATGTAGCATTTCGTTCCTATACAATGCTTGAAACATCAAATGAAACAATAATAAATCATCATGAAAAAAAATTTAATGAAACACATGAAGTAAAATCATCATTTTCATGTTCAAATCGTGTTGATGGTTATTATGAATCTGAATGGTGTAATATTTATTATCGTTGTGTTGCAGGAAAACGTATGGATGAACGTTGTCCATTAGCTGGTACACAATCATTAGCTAATTATGATCTTTGGTGGAGACATCAAAATTCAATTTATAATTCAACAAATCCACATTATTTTGGTGGTTTAGATTATATGGTTCGATGTGAATGGCCCTGTAAAGTTGAATGTAATAAACCAATATGGATATCATATGATAATATAAATGGAAATGCTGATGTTGTTTTAAGAAAAGATCAAGCACTTCGACCTGATTGTTCATTAGTTGTTAATAGAAAAATTGAAAATACAATTCAAACATCACAACAAATGATTATGTATTCTGATATACCAAATCCATCAAATTATACATGTCCATTCAATTTACAGGGTGTTAAAGCTCGTTTAGCTGATCCAAAATATTGTAATGTTTTTCATGAATGTATTAATGCTAAATTAATAGGTTCATTTCTTTGTATTGAATCACAATTTGATACGAAAGAAAAAGATTGCATAGCATTTACAAAATCAAATATTTGCCCACAAGAACGTCGTTATTCATATTCACGTTCACAATTAGCTGCTCAAACATCACCTGCAGCATATTATGAAGCTGTTGAAGTACGAAGTGTTAATCCAAGTGGTTATGAATGTATCACTGATGGTATTCATACAGATGCTATGTTTTGTAATCTATTTCATGCTTGTTCTGGTCGTAATCGACGAACATTTCAATGTCGCCAAACAGGTACAGATGGTATCAATGAAGGTGTATCAACATTTGATTTAAATACAAAAAGTTGTATAAGATTTTCACCATATTCATGTCCAACATTACTTTATAATCAAGAATTTGTTGTTTTACCTGTTATGTTTAAACCTCCAACAGTGTCACCATGTGGTAAAGAAGGTTTCTTTCCTGTATCAGATGTAACAGCACAATATTGTAATATGTTTGCATGGTGTCCAAAAGGACATGGTGAAGCTAAAGTTTTTGAATGTGTTCCATCATTACCAGGTGCACATTTAGGTGCATTTGATATGTCAAGACGTTCATGTACATCACGTACAACATGTCCACGTGCACGTCATTCATCACCTTTTAATACAAGTTTACTTGCAATGACATTAAGACCAAAAGTAGTTAGTATTAGTAAACGAAAACAATTTTCATTAACAAGCACAATGCTTGAAAATGGTTATATTGCATTGGGGGTCGATTTTCAAACATCATTTACATGTCCATTAGGAACAACTGGATTTCATGCTAATCCAAATTATTGTGATGTTTTTCATTATTGTTATGAAACGGGTGAATTAGCATCATTTGTTTGTGCATCAATGCCTAATCGTTATCAATTGTGGTGGAGTCATCAAAATGAACCAGGTCGACCAGATGTAAGAAAAATTTTTCTTCAAAATCACTAAATAAATATTTTCGTTTTGAATTTTTACTTTTATTTTTTTTTTAGAATGTATTTTGTGACTGGCCATGTAATTTACAAGGTGTTTATGCTTGTCCAGCTCATAAAACGATTCTTATGCGTGATCGACAACCAGTAGGTAATGTTGTACAACAAGAAGTTATTGAAGCAACATGTTCATCAGCTCAAGTACCAACTGTAGCTGTTCTTGTTAGTGGTATTACACCTGAACCTGGTGGTTTTATGACTCCAACATTTTATCCTTCACCATCAATTGATATGAACAACATTCCACAACAATCTCAACCAACAGGTTAAAAAAATTAATTTATTATTAAAAGTATTCACTAATAATCTTCTTTTTTCGCTCAATTTAGCTCCTTCATCTGTACTTGGTTATCAACCATGTGTAGTTTCAAATGAATGGTATGTAAGTCAACCAACAATTCGATGTAGTTCATCATTTGCTGCAATGAGTTATGCACCTGATCCAAAAGATTGTTCGAAATATTATATATGTGATTCTTATATCGGTCCAGATGGCATGTCATCAGGTAAAATTTACAAAAATAAAAATAACAATCTAATTTATATAAACTTTTCTTTTCTGTATCACTAGGTATTTTAATGCAATGTTTGGCTGGTTTATGGTGGGATCAACAACGACGTACATGTGTACTTCCATCTGAAGTTGCATGTAATCCATATAATATTATTAATTCACAAGGACAAAATACAATGATTGAAAATAATCTAAATGGTAAATGTTTTTATTCAAAAGAAAAATAAATCTTCTATTGAATGTTTTTATTGTTTTTTAGTTATGCTTCAACCAATGCAACCAGGCATGCCTTTTCCATCAGTAGATACAACACCGCTTGTTGTCTTTCCACAGCCACAAACACCTGTTCAAGTTATGCCAGGTATGCATATGAAATCGATCATATTAGACATTATTATCGTTTTTTTTCTGTTAGGAGGATCAAGTGATGCACCATGCCGTGGTGGTCCATTATGTATGGATGTTGGACTTAACATTCTTCAACAAATGAAAGGCATTCCTGGTCGACCAGGCTGGTTGTATGTATTTAATTTATCAGGTTTTTGTTTCTCGATATTAACTAGTTTTTTTTTCTAGTTATAAATGTGACAGTCAATGTGCACTTGAAATGCGTTGTCCACCAGGCTTAGTATTTGATGATGCATATCAGCGATGTGAATGGCCTGGTGCTGGTTCTCAACTATTACATCAACGTTTAGGTAGTTTAAGAGATAAAACCTCTGACGATAATAAAAATACAACTAAAACAAATGTTAAAAAATTACGTGTAATGACAACATTAAAACAATTCAATAAAACATCATCATCATCATCATCACCGTCATCATCATCATCGTCATCAACATCGGCAACAGTATCACCAATGAATCAAGCAACAAAACGTGTTGCACCATAAAAGAACTTTATGCACATATGCTGTCATACAGCTAATGCATATCATAAAGACATAGATACATATTTAAATTTTTCTTCATTATTTATTCCTAAGAAAAAAAAATCAATATTCTTTTTTCTTTTCTTGTGCTGATAGTCTGTTGTTTGTTTCGTGTTTTTTTTCTCCTATATGTATAGATTGCTTTTCACGACAAATTTCATTGTCTTCGGTTGCAATTGTTGCTAAAAAAACAATATCCCTTTTTTCCTTTCATTGTTTCATTATTATCATTATTTATTAGCGTCGCGGTTCTCTTGAAGAAATAAAAGAAAGAAATAATCTATTCAGAAAATTAATCATAAATTGTTTGCTTAGTTTCAATCTCTTTAAAAAAGAGTAAAATTTATTTCTATGACATAATCATCGATTGAAGAATATCTTAAATTTAAACTTTTCTTCGTTTTTTTTTGCTGCTTTAATTAAAAATTCGATATTTAACAAGGATAATGTGTTCAGCCTTAAAAGAAAATAATTTGTTATTTTGATTGCCGTTTAAGTTTCATCTTGGATTTGTTTTTAAAATTTGTTTTTAAATGATGATGACATAAGCATTGCATTTGTTGATCATTAGTTGATAGATAAAATTGTTCACGTCGTGGTAAACTAATAAATCTACATGGAATTTGAGGATCAAATTCAAATAAATCAACATGTGTAAAAAGAACTTTACGACGAGTTAAAGATTCTGTTGTTTGTTGTGTTAAAAGAATAGAATTATTTTGATTTAATGATAGATTTTTATCGTATGAGTTCCGTAAAATTGATTTTTTTGGTAATCGATGATTATTTTTAATAATAATTAAATTATTTAATTCAATACTTAAATGTTTAAGAAAGAGAAAAATAAATCTAGCTAAGATTTCTTCTATTGTTGTCATCAAAAAAATAATTGAAAGAATTAAAAGGACAAAATATGAGAATAATTCCGCGCTAGATTTTTATAACTAATTGTTAATTACGATATGAAATCAAGTAATTTAATACAAAGGTGATAGATTGGTTATTTTACTTTCTAATTCGACTTTTCAATCACGTTGAAGATTTAACAATTTAATGTTTTGTATTTACTGGCATTTTCATAAGTCAACCATACAATTATAAGTCGTTGATCGTAATGAGATATTCTTTGAGGACATAAAAGAAAACACATGAAGAACCTATTATCAAGTCACTGACTAAATCGTTGAGCTTTTTAGTCTAAACAGATTTTTGTTCTGCTAAATGTGATTCAGTATTTCATCAATAGATTAATTAAGGAACTTCTTTATTCTAGCTGTAGAAAGTTCAACATAGTTATTATTAGAATTATTTTCAAACGCATTCTATTTTGAAGAGGTTTTTCATCGCATTAGCATTAGTTATTTGAAGATTCTTTTCATAAAAAATCAGATTGAAAGTTTTTGTTTCAATTCGTTGCAAACAACTTTGTAATAAGACAAGAGTGTGGTTATCTAAGTATGAACGAAGAGAAGATCCTCACCCATCTACAGTCATACTCTTACAACAAACATCTACGTACACACCCCATTAACATCCACATCCTTTTGTCGTTCGATGAGTGTTATATCTTCTAAACATATCCACAAGATGCGCTGCAATAAACAGATATTGATATAGCAAATAACCTTGAAGAGTGAGTGTGAGCATGTTTTATAGAAACTTACAATAGACTGATACTAGAATACGAAGTAAATGGTGACATTCAAGTGAACTGGTGTCTGGTAAAAGAATAGTGAATATTTATTGTTAGATAACAAGCAATAAAAAAGTGATAGTGAATAGAATCATGGTTGAAATTCATGAAAGAAAATGATTATTTGAAGTGGAGTAATATCATTTTTTTGATGCTTCAACCTTTGCATAATATTGTGCTTTGCCAGAGAGTCCTTGTATTTTAATCCATGTTTTGTATAATTCATTTTCCAATGTTGTTGTAAACGGTATTTTAATGTCTGTATAATAATAATTAATTGGTCTTTTCGATTTTAATTCTCCAATTTCTTTCGCTAAATAATTCATTATTTTTGATTTAGTATGTGCATCAATTTTTTCATTCGAAGCATACTGTGTCAAAATTTTTAATATTTCATAAGCTTTTATAGCACTTTCGTTCTTTAAAGATTTTAATAAATCATCGATAAATTCATTTGGCGATAATTGTATAAGAGGAATTCCTATTACAGAATATTCTTTCACGAGGTTTTCATCGAATAAAGCATTCATTGCATTTATGATTACTTTTTGATCGCAATTATCCAGTGCTGACAATAAAATAAAGGCACTACCTCTTGCCAGAAAAAACGGATGACTATGTAGCATTTTTTCTAAAAGTTTGATCATTTGAGCTTTATGAAAATCTTGACCATTGGTAACTTTTCGATATAAATAATCGTCCTTTTGGGCACATACAGCAACCAAGCATAATAGGTTTTCACATAGCATCATTGAAAAGATTGTATCATCAGTGCCTCTGAAATTATTCATTTTTTGCAATAACCATTTAATTAAACTTTCCATTATATCTATGGTTATTGGAAAATCATCTAACAGATTTAATATTTCGCGATTTAAATCACGTGTTGAAGTCCAAAAAGTACACGTACTAATACGTTTTATATATTCATAATTACGTTGTGAAAGACTTTCAGTTTTGACCGTTAGTTCACTAATTATCTTTGAATCAAGAAGTTGAAAATATGCTTCATCATTTGTGTTTGTCAAGCCGCAAACTGTTTGCAAAATAAATCTAATGGATGCAATGTCATTTTCTTTGAAATATAATCTGTCTTGGAATTGACTTGAATCTGTAGCCGATAGTATTTGTGCGAATTCATTCCAGTCGTCTTCTGCAATTTGATCATTGCGTATAAGCTTCATTGTTGAACGGAATATTTCTTCCACATACGATGGATGTGATGGTGATTGCAATGTTTTCAGTATTGAACTCCAGATATTATTATTTATAAAACGAATATTATTAAAAAATTTCATTTCTTTTCCACCAATAGATTGCCTTTGTTGTAATTTTGTGGCATCTTCATAAAGATTTTGAAATACACTAGAATCATCCCAAAGAAGGTCGAAGAAAAACGTAGCAAGATAAGTTTGAACTCGTGGAAGATAAGGTTGCAAAAATCTGTTTTGTAGAATTTTCATTAATGTTTTTTCTCCAATGACAGATATTCTTTTGCTTGGTTCAATGACATCTCGTTCTGGATGCTGGAAAACTCGCTGGGCTCTATATCTAATTTGATCATTGTCACTTTTCAATAAATCTATAATTGTATCGAGTCCAGCTTCGAAAACGTACTTTGCCTCTGTAAGTAAAAGAGCTGCTAACTTTTCTATTTGACTGTCACTATAATCAGTGAACCATCTATGAACAATCGGTAACACTTCATTTGATGGTTTTGTTATGTATGGAAAAAGAATTGATATTCTATCTTCTTGTCCTTTTCGTACTAATTCATCAATAATAATTGCTACTTGTGGTGTCAAAAATAATTCACTATCTAAAGCTACTTTTAGTAAATGTTCAATATTTGACTGATTATTGGTATCTCTATAGAGATTAATCCATAATTGGTTGACGCTGTTTGATTTGCCAAATGTTAATTTAATATCATTAAGTTGTGCGAAGAGCATAAATAGAGCTTGAATATTAGTATGATTGGAATCATCTACAATTTTTTTATCATAATTATTTCTCCATTTTGGAAGATCGTCATCTTTCTCGCTATCACTCTCATCCCGTTCGAGGAAATAATCATTTTGTTTACTATCACTAATATTGCATTCAGGAAGATCGTCATTTGTTTTGCTATCATTATCATTGTATACTGTAAAATCATCATTTTCCTCTCTCTCAATATAATTTTTGACCTTTGTATTCATTGTCAAAGTTAAGTTGTAAATATCAACATTTAATTTTTCAGTAAACAATATTCGCCCATAGTGAGAATCAATATAATACTTAGATATTTTGTTTTTTAGATTTTCTATAATTCCATTCAGAGTAATTTGAAGATCATCATAAATAGCAATTAATGGTTTTAATTTTATTATTAATTTCATTTGCTCTTCATCTTCATTCATCTTACCAAGTGTTTCTATAGCATTTGTCAAATACTTTTTTCGGAAATCTCCTGATCCATAAAACGATAATCTTATCGATGCAACAACTCGATCATAATGATCACAAATACTATCAAATGATAAAACTAGCTCTTCGAGTATTTCCTGGATAAACGAGTTCTGTTTAACTTCTTTGTAATGAGTAATACTAAAAATCTTTTCCAAAACTTGAAACTTAAAACTTGGTTCTTGAATAGTTTTTGTAAGTTTAAAAGATTCATTCAAAAGCTCATAACTCTTCTCATCATAGAATTGTGCTAATTGACTTAATGCTCTTGATCTATAATACGAGCTGCCGATTGATTGAATTTTTTGAAGTAAAAATTCTCTAATATTCGTCTTATGTGTCAGCTCAGGAAGCAAACGATTACAAAGCTCTAGATAGTCGACACCTTTTGACATAGTGCCAAAGTTTAATAACACTATTAATGTAATCAAGTCGGGATTTTTCTCAAAATATCCTTTCTGAAACAAAAAATTAGAAATAATATCTACTGCGAAGGCAATATTATTATGGATGTTCTCCAAACAATTGAGAAATGCTATCGGTAAATCATCATCGTTATTCGATTTGAAAGTAAAAATATCCATAGGCCACAAATATGACCGAACTGGTGTATAAATTTGAACAGAATCACTAATCTTTACAAATGACTTTATAATTTCATCAGTTTCGTATGTTTTCATATTATCTAATATCACTGCAACATTATATCGTTTATCATCATCAGCACCAGTGAATTTAAAGGCAAAATATTCTGCATATAGAGCATACTTATCTTCAGCATTATCCATTGCTTCAGCTAGTTTCGTAGTGTCGATAGGTAGGCCTCCACCATTGGCTATTAAAGATAAATATATTTTGCAATAATCAGAAAAACCAATACTGTATTTCAATTGTTTTGCTTTCATACTATTATAAGCTGTAAGTAAATAGTTTGGAACTTGTGAAGAACACCTTGCAATTGGATCTTTCAAGCTGCAAATCAATTGTTCTACTCTATTTCCAAATTTTTTTATAAACATTTCCTCTCTTTCGTTTATAACAGTGTTTATAATATCGAAGTCTCCTAAAACCATTAATAAAATCAATGTGTCTATTTTTTCACCAGTTGACAATCGTTGACCATGTACTTGCATTCTCAAGTATTCTATTAAGTTTGTTGCAGATTTTTCTTCAACAAGTAATTCGAGAATTTTGGTTGTTAGATACGACTCCTTATAGATTTCATTCTTATCAAATATTGGCTTTTCACTCCAACGTTTCTCAGATCTAACTGTATCGGCACGCACAGCCATCCTATAGACTGGATCATCGCGACCCCATACTTCTTGATAATAAAAGAGAAATGGTACCCTTTCGTTCTCACTTAAGCTAAGAAACTGAGTGATTTCGAGATGTTCTCGAATACTTGTTGGAGTGTTGTAATTTTTATATCCACCGTAAAGAGCTATAATAATACATAACCAATCAATGTACTTCATTATATGCTGAACAGCGTCTGAATTTTTTTCTAATGTATTTTTGAATTTTAATTGGATCATCATGGACTCATCTTCTACACTGTATGAATAAAATCGTAAAATAGAATCCACCGACCAATTCCAAATCACGGAATCATGATCCAAATTTTTTAAAAATATTTCATGAAATTTTGGATCATACCATTGAAGTTGATAAATGATATTGGCACACGGAGCAATATTTTCGTCTTGATTTATTTTCTCTAAAAACCATTCAAGAACCAAACTTTCGTAACCTGTTTTCAATTTTGAAAAATATGATTGTATCAATTCTTGATGTTCTTTTAATCTTGAAAAACCATACATATTTTTATAATCAACTAATAACAGTTCTAATAATCTTCGAATCAATACATATTCTGTATCTTTTGTTGAAAAATGCATATCATTCAATGAATCGATGATTATATACGGTATCAGAGACGTAGAAAATTGTGTATTCGATGAAATTTGTTCATCGTCGAATAATTTTTCAATGATATTGCTAAATAATTCACTACACTCAGTTAATTTACTCAATATTCCAAATGTCATGCTAAGAGGAACTCTCCAATTCGGGTTAGCAATTTTCTCTTTGATATTTTTCAAAATCATGTCTTCATTTCGTTCCATTCCATTGAAATAGATAATACTTTTTGCTGCAAGATATTCTTGAAACGTACGATGTATGAATCGAAAACTGTTGTAACCAAATTCATTCAATAACCCTGCTTGGTATTTAAATACATTAACAAGTTTTAAAATCGAATCATCAATGTTTATTAGAGAGTCTTTCGTTGATTGTTTCTGATAATCAACTACGCATTTTCTTATGATTTCTTTCAAAATATTCTCTGCTAAACCTTCCACTTTGCTATGTAAATATTCAGCTATTTCTTGCATTATGGACCATAATATAGTAGCATTTAGTCCAAGTTCTTTATTTAAATAGTTTGTCGAAGAACTACTGGAAGAGTTAATCAATCGTTCAATCATCTTTTCTATTGCTTTTTCATATAAATCAATTCTTTTTTCGGGTAATTTATCTTCGTACTGATTGTAAATGGCAGCAATTACACTAGCTAACTGTGGATTAATTGCTAATTGAAAAATATCTTTATTTTTTGCAATATCATTATATAATTGATCAGTTTTGTATTCTTTTATATGTTTTCCATCTTTGATAGAATTTTCTTTAATACATTCCATGTAAGAGTTACAAAATAATTTGAGAGATTCATTAGACATGTCTTCAATTGTTAGTCTAGGTATATAATAATTGATTTGTTCGAAATAATTTCCTTCAATACGACTTGTAATAATAAATCGGTTACCTATAGTGGGATCTTGAATACTATTTATTTCTTTTCGTTCATAAATTGAATAAGAAAGTTTGTCCAGTTTTGCATCATAATCTATTCCTCGTTCTAATAAATCGTTGATTTCTTTCATTAAACCAGACCGATCTATATGAACAGGAACTTCGTCTAATCCCTCGAAAATAACTAAAACATTGCCTTGCACCAATGATTGTATTATCAAAGATGATAGTACTTTGCGTTCTTCATCGTTGAAATAATTTGAATCCAAAGTATGATTTTCATAGATGAATTGAAGCAAAGTTTTCTTTTGTTCATTGTGATTTTCTTTTAATTGATCAACGTATTTCCATATTGGTATAAGAATTGGTAGTTTTTGTTCAGTAGAACAACTACTATCAAATAACATATTTTTCTCACCTAGACATTGCTTAGCCATATTGATTACTAACCATTTCGATAAGGTCGTTTTACCTGAACCAGGATGGCCTAGGATTATACAATGTCTAAATTTGTTGTAAGCTTGTTGTATATGATATTGTTTTGCTTCTTTAACATTAGATTTTTCCAAAATACTATATTTTAATCGATTAATTTTATTTTTGATCGAAGCAGCCTCGTCTTTAGTAAATATGTTCTGATTACTTAAAAGAACATTCAACCACTGATCAATCATAAAGTCTCGATAAATATTTTGAGGGTTATACGTGTTTACTTCCATGATAGCTCTAAATATTTTTTTAATTTCATTCTCATCGAAAAATCCATGAGATAAAAGTTTACGTTTAAATTCTTCAGAAATTTCGAGAATTTTCATTGCTTTAATAGATGGATGTGTTGGATCAAATTTTAATTCGACATAAACACTTTCTAAAGGTAAACTAATGTTTGTTTTAGAATATCCAAATATTGATACATATCCATGTTCTTTAGTAAGGAAATTCAGATACTTTTTACGAATAATTTGTTTTTCTTCTATTAATGATAAACTTTCATATAATAGTGGAGTAAATGATTTCAGACTCTTAATAAATTTTAATAAATCTGCATAACTCTCACCGTAATGAAGCTCTGTTATATTTTCTGAAAACGAAACATCAAAAGCTTGATTTAACATTGTATCTCTATTTGATTTAACAAGTTTATATATTGAAAGAGGCTTTTGGCTTGCTACTCGAAATTTCCATTGTAACAAGTTCCAAAAATTCGGATCAGTCATTTCACCACCATAGCCAATAAATAAAACAATTTTTGCTTCCAGAAGTGCTTTCAATTTCGACTGTGCAAATTCGTCATCGAGGATTTTTTTGTAATTGCTCCTACTAAAAATTATACTTTCGGTTTCTTTATAATATCCATGTACATGTAAAACAAAGTTTTTCATTTCCTCAAACGAATCACCGATACCATCGGCTTTGTATTTATTCCAAGTTAATGGTTTTTTCTTCAATATATCTCCTAGAAGTCCGTCATAGTTGGTTGTTAAGACTGGACATCCCAATTCTCCTATGGCTTCAATAAGTTCGGATCTTTTAGGTATTAGCTTTCCTACAGTGTCTTTCAACCATACATTATAAACATCATTGTTTGTTTTATCATTCTCCTTCTTGAAACAATCTTCAATTCGATCAGCAGCACTCAAGTAATCATCAACTATCGCTTCATGACTGTCGAATGTTTTAATGATGTCATCAAGATCTCTATCGCCAATCAATCCGAACTGGTAACATCTTTGAAGTCCACTTTTTAATAAACCAATCCAAGTAGCAAAATCTTGTTCACCATTTGTGGTATAACGAGACACATCTGTACCAACAAATACAACTGCATGATTTTGAGCTATTGCCCTTTTAACTTTTTGAATGTCATCACTCATAGTTTACTTTTGTTATTTAAAATATATACAAATCTAAAATTTAGTAAAATAATAATATAGTGAACCACAAAAATATTGGTTTAATGAGTCGCTAATAAATAATGGATCGGATTCATTTTCGTTTATTTCAAAAACTAAAACACGATTGTAAGATTTCAATCTTATATCATTTCATAGAAAATTTTTCGCATTGGAAAAATAGCAACTTTGCTTTTCATAGAAGACTTATTTTTGGTGGTGCACAATTTGTGAGACTAACCTCCGTTAAATCGTCCAACGCGACAGGCAAAAGACAACAAATTTAAAAAACTTCCTTCCAAAAATTTGCTTCTTGTAAGGTATGCTCGATAGTTTTTGAACAAAGTCCAAGACCATTTTCTGTGGTAGAAAAACATGACAACGATAAAACTCGTTTCTCGCGATACACATGTTGTTGTTCCATTTTCATCTGAGGCAACATAAACGTTCTCATTGTTCCACTCAACGAATACTCCAAAGAATTTAAATTAGAATTTTAAATCTCATAGATGTTCCGTAGATCAACTATGACTTTAGAAAATATGGTTTCGTAAATTGATAACAACGAAGCACACAAGAGTACCTTCCAGAGGTATTCTCGTAAACTATTGAGCTAGACATTCGGGCAAGATCTCAGTAACATATTTCAGAGCATATTTGCACATGTGTTGATCCTAAAAATCTTGAATTTACTATCGAAATTGATGTGCATATACTCACACTAATTAGTAGTTATCTGTATAAAATTGGAAGAGTGGGGTGTGAGTGTGGGCTTAAGTGTAGGTGTCTGGGTATAGGCGAAGAGAAGACTCTCACCAACGCGCAGACATACACACTGCCGCAAACAATTGTGTACTCACAACTACACCCATATCGCGATGTATGCTATCATTCAATATATATAAGACTTGGATTGGACAAAAAAATCTTTCGACATCTCTGATGATCTCGGGTAATGGCAATACACGATCCTATTGAAAGGTCTCAAACTGAGAAGAAGCCTTTAAATCGTTTCTCGTTTGATGAAGAAGCCGTTTCACTTTATTTGTTTGAATGATATACTGAGAAGTTACCCAAAATATTCTCTAATTATACTAACTATTTAATGCAATGATTACAGGAGACGCCTTTTTGCTGCCTACATGTGGCTGCTAATGGAAACGGAAAGAAAATGTTGCTGCCAGAAGCAGAGCTAGGGCCACAACATAGCCAGTTTTGGTTAGCTCATTTTCTAATTGATCTGTATAATACACGAGGTTGATAATTGAAGAGGCATTTTTCGACACGATTATTTCGATAGACAGAAGTGTCGTGCGATCACCAAAATTGCGGGCACTAGGGAATGGTTTGAAGAACCAAGAATAGAGCTGATGATATAAACGACGCGACTGGATGCCTGGGTGATTCGTTGCATGAAATGTTAGTCTTAAAGTGTCTAAAAAGTATCTTGAAAGAGCATCGAAAGTGGATGGATGCAGATGGGTTAGAATGGACTTGAGTGTGAATATGTTGATCAGAATGAGTGAATTGGTTAGCGGCGTGTGTGTCATTGTTGATAAGGGTACACAAAATATCCTCAGTTACACCGTCGCCGACATCAACATCCTACCAAGAATTATTCGATGTTTTCCCTACTGTTGTTGTAGAGATTGTTGAGCACAAACCGAAGAAAATCGTTCAGGACTATTAGAAGAATGGAGATCTTTCGAGAATAGAGTAGACTGATCCTTCCATGATCTTAACCTCGGAACCTCTACCGGTAGGGGTCTGTATTGTCGTTCCTAGAGATCATCACAGGTATCTGAAATTTTCTTAATACAATTCAAATTTGAATATTACGTCTGATAGAATTTGTCACACTGAACACAAATCTCACATTTTTATACAATTTTGTTCCGATAAGAAGAAACCTAACAGGAATGTGTGGCTGTATAGATGAGGGTCAACTTTTGACTCGCACTCAGACCTATCGTATTTCAGGAAAGATAAAGCCTATGATTGCTTAATTGACCGAACATTGTCTTTTCAGAACTTTTATCCTGATCAGCTGTACTACACTTTATTGAGAGAACCTACTCTAATTGGTCGGAAAATGTTGGAATATGTCGTCTTTCGTTAGCAGTCGTGTTACCTGTACCGCTTCGTAAAAATGTATCCACAAAAAAAAGACGAAAAAGTGACTGACTGTCTTGCTGCTGAGACAGCATCGTCAACCGTATATTTTCTTGTGTTCTTTATGTCAGTCATTCATAATGAAAGTCTTTTATTTTGTCTGGTAGGAAGCGTGGCAGAGATTGCAAGGAAGAAGAAAAGGCAACAACATTGAGTTGCATAGCATTTCAAATGAGCACAAAAGTATAGATGAGTCACATGCAGCTGTATTTCATATTTTTTTGCGCCATTCGGTGATGAAGGCGATATTCTCACAGGTGGCGCTTCAATACGAGAGATGTTGTTGCTTTTGATCAACCGCATACGAGGAATACGGAGTGCATGAATGCTTTTAGATGGCTGTATACGAACAAACACGGATTTCAATGGTTATCACTTTTGTTCACGGTAATTGGTAGTATTTTAATCGGCAATGCCTATATTCTGGAGATTGGCTGTGACAGTTGGTGGGCGATTGCGTTTATGGTGGGTGTGAACGGAACTGCCATAATTGGTTTCTGTCACTCTCAAATGATGTCGAGACATACTTCATGCTTGTAGCGATTACAATGTAAGCCTTAATTATCGTCGTTATGTTGAAATATCGACCAAGCTTCACTAAGATAGGGAGAGAGTGCTTGAGGATTCCTGTCTACTCCCACTTTCACTGTCTCCGTCTTGGTCAAAAGTAGTCTTGCGGATTGATTGAATTTATATCGTACTGCAGACCTTATAAAAATAGAGAGTATGTTAGATATAGATGACGACATAGTTGTGAAGATTCACAAGACTCATATTTCAGTTTGAAACTAATTTCACTTTTATTTTATTTGAAATTCAGATTTCAATCGAACAGAGCATTGTATGTATTTTGCTTAAGTTTATTTGCACCAAGAATACGACAAGGCTGATCATGATAGCGATCGATGGTAGTCCGTACTACTTCCTTTTTTTGTCTCTGCCGCTTCGCTTTATTTTGTCTATGCATATTGACACAATCTCGAACCTAAGCAGACTCACATCTTTTCGAAATTCGACCATGAAAGAAATAAGAAGACAAAATACCCATATCATTGGTAAGTGAGAAGTCCTTCTCTGGTATGAACGGCAAGAATGTTAATATGCTTTATTCGATTTTTCTATACTCCGACTATGGCAGCTATTCATATCAGTCTGTGTCCTGGCACTAGTGTCCTGCGGGAACGACTTTTTCTGATTCCCATTCCCTATTCCCATTTCCTAAAAAAAACTTTTTATTCCCATTCCCTTTTTCCCATTCCCTAAAAAAGATTTTTTGTTCCCATTCCCACGTTCCCATCCCCATACTCCCCCTACTATTTTCTAANTTTTTCTCTTTTTTTTCCAAAAAGGTGTGATAGTGCTAAAAGTCGGTATTGACTAACTTTCCATAGAAAGGGTTTTAGAACCTGAAATTTTAGGGTTAGTAGTTTTAGACATTGAAGTTTCGAATGAGCAAAAAAAATCGAAAAAAAAAATTTATCGAGTGCCTTGCATACTCGATGCCCTCATGGACCCTCTCTTAAAAGATGTTTTATTAGCTCATATCTTCTAAGATTTTGTTTTCTATAATAATATTTCTAGTTTATCAATTTGATTAGAAAAAAAAACTCTACCAATGATGAAAATGCTTTCGGAACGGATAATAAAAATTGAAGGAATACAAAATTTATGTTCAATTAAAATAGAATACAAATTATTTTTGATTTTAAGTTTAATTACCCAAGATCGACAAATGATTATCATATTTCTTTTTTTGATTAATACAAAAAACTTAAAAGAAAATCATTCATGTTTGCGTAAGCAAAGTAATTTCAAGAAAATTAAATTATATATTTCTTGGAAAAAACTGACTGGTTTCTTGTTGCAAATAATCATTAACAAAGTTACATCAGTTTGAAGTTTTGACTTTACAAATCGAATTCTTACATCCGTCGTTGATTTTCAATGACAAGAGAATAGTAAAACATACTGCATATGTGACTGAATTTAATTTATTAGGTTTTGCTTGTAGATCTAATTTTGTTATTGTCGAACTTTTGCTCTATGTTAAACGAATAGTAGATGTTGATTCAACATATAGATATGATCGGTATTTTTAATCATACGTGAAACTTTAGAACTTTCTAACTTTATTTTTTTTCTTGACTATCATTTTAAGCATGATTTTAAAACTTCTAATCATGTCAGTATGTTTAAATCTAATAGATTTATTTTAATAAGTTAACTTTGATGAAATAAATTTCATATAAATTTATATTTATTGAAGACTGATTGTTTGTCTGACTGATATTTATTCAAAAAAACAACACTCATTAGATATACATTACAAAATAAAACTACACTCTACAAGAGATTGAAAATAAGTTATTTGTAATTGTATTAAAAATAAGATTTTATAATTAAATGTTATTTTTTGTATTCGAGATTTTCACTGATTGATCGGACAATATTTTCATAGAATTTCTGTTCGAATGGTATCATACTATAATGCATGCCAAAAACAAATCTTTCTATTTTTAATATCGTTTGAATAATAGCAAAAAAATGAAGAATTGTATGAGATTCACCAAATCGATGCCTAAATAAATATACAAACATAATGATAAAAAACATGAATGTCTAATTTTATCATTCAATATTAAATAAAATATTGAATAATAAATTAAAAGAAAAAAAGTTTCTAAAGAGAAATAGAAAACTTATTATAAAAAAGTTCTATCATGATTTAGAAGACTTTCAACTAGGTTTCTTTTTACATAAATCATTATAATTGAGAACTAGTTTTCTTTGGACAAGAGAAATTTTTTTTAAAATTTTACTTACATCATATATTTCCACATAAGTTCAATATACATATTTTGTACATTATGAAGTATAAATGTATGATAATATTCATCGAATTGACGATTAACTGTCATATCATCATGATCCATATTATTTGTTGAGAAAGCAAGTATAACAAGAATTAATTTTATTAAATATGGATCAGCAAATGAAACACGACCTATATGATATTTAATTTCATTATGCAAACATTTTGTAGAAGGTAAAAGAATAAATTCCAATGAAGCTTTCCAATACGGTGTTTGAGTTAGACTTTGTATAGCTTTAAGATTTGATTGATAATATGAATAGAACATTATCAATGGTTGTGTATTACGTATGAGTAAGATTTGTTTATTCCAAGTTGGTAATGAAATGAATTGTGGAATAGATTTAACAAATTTTAATGCAATGTCAGCAAAAGTATTCATCATATCATAAATATATGAAGCTTTAGCTCTCATTTTAAGAGGCTGAATTCCTACCGATAACAATTGTTGATGAACTTCTTGAGCTTTTAATACAATATGATTATTAAGACAATCAAAATCAAATGATAATTGATTTAATAATAACCAATCATTATTTGATAATTGAAAACAATCAGACCATGGTAAACAATTCAAAGATCTCATAAACTAAAATCAAATATAATTATTTTCTTTTTTTTTCTCAATCAAATCTCGATTTTAGTCTTATTAATAAATATTCATATTTATTTATGAATAATGTTTCTCTTATATTTTATTCAAATATATTAGCAAATAATTAGAAAGATAACTTACTAATGGATTTGTTGTTAAAATATGTTGATTAGTTGATATTCTTTGATATAAATGTGATACAAATCGTAATTCTTTTTTGCATTGTTGTTTATCAATTTGAGACCATTTAAAATTATTATTTTCTTTCATACGAAATAATTGTCGTTTCATTCCAACTCGAAAACAAGTCAAAAGTCTACAATATGTACAACATTTTCGTGTTTGTTGATTTATTTCACAATTTCCACCAGCATGACAATATAGACTATTGAAATTTGTAAATGCATTACGACGAAAAAATATTTTACAACTCATACAAGTTATTGCACCAAAATTAAATCCACGCGCAATAGATCCACAAACGACACATATTAATCGTTTTCTTTCAGTTTCTATATTTGAAAATAAATAATAAGATGGTACTGATGATATCTAATCAAAAACAAATAGAAGAAAAAGAACAATAGAAGATCATTTTTAATTGAAGTTTAATTACCTCAAATGATGGTGACATAGTTGCCATTTTTAAATCTTTGCTTATGATTTCTTCCTGTAAATAATAAAATGAACAAAAGCGGTATATTAAAAGAACATTAAAATAGAAGAAGGAGGTTCTTTTTTCTCTCTTTTTTTTCTGACATGTGTTCTCTAGTCATTTTTCTATATTGTCTAAGATAAAATGAAGATAAGTCAAGCTCATTAAGTATATTCAAAGGATAATATACATTACATTGAACTAAGAACTCTTGTTCTTGTCTATTTCATAATGTTATCTAACAGGAAACATTATGTCTAAATATCAATATAGCAGAAATCCTTCCTGCTAAGAACTTATTCGATTCTAATTTTGTGTATTTGTCTACCTAGGAAATTTAGTAAGAATAGATTTTCTTAAGTCTATTTTATTTTGAAATAATAGTAGAAGAAAATTTCTTTTAGATACATAATAAATCATATGATGAAACTTAAGTTATCATTTAGTTTACACATTCTTTTGTGTTCTAGTCAAACATAAATAGGCACATGAGGAGATTACATTTTATATTCTATCGTTTAATTAGAAACAAAATAAATCATTAATTAAAATTTCTAAAGAAATTCAATTACTTGTACTATCATAATTGATCAAAGAAAGACTATATTTTAGTTAGGTGTTTATTGTAATCGTGCTTAAAATCGTTTTAATAGTACAAGGTTGTTTAGAACAAGAAAGTGACGTGACATGATACATTGATACAGAAATTCTTTAGAACATGTCATTAAACATGTCAACTATGATGAAAATGTTCTTTGCAGTAGGACAACATGTTCTGTGTTTTTTCTTACAATTGATTTCATTCTCTTGATACTCATCTTCTATACATGAGTGGAACTGTTATATTAAGAAGAATTTATTTTAATTAATATTTCAATAAACTGTTAATCTAAAGTATTCTACTATTTGAATAACTGTATTTAGTGATAGCTAGACTGCGACATATTGTCTTAGTTAAGTGTATAATAGTCAGTACATACAAACAAACTATCATAATTTAATAACCATTAAAATGACATTGATTTTGACATATGAGTTTTTGTTTTGAGTAATAGCCACTTAATTTTAATGAAAACTGTTGACGTCGAAACTTCTTGACTGAATATTAAGAAAGGATAAAAAAAAGAAGATCACTTCCTCAATTACTTCTATTAATTCATTGCAATGAAGCGCAATTTTTTTTTCATTTAAAAAAGACCAAGAAGCGACAAACAAAAGAGGGCTGAACGGGTACATTTCTTGTTTTTCTTCTTCTTGTCTTGTACCTGTCTATGACATAATAGAGAACAATGAGGTCTTTCTTAATTTGCTCTCTCATGAATGAAATACAAAAAGAAGCGAAGAAAAAATTAATTCGTTGAGTAGTGTAGTCTGTTTATAAATAAGATCACTGATCCGATCATACATTACTTCAAGTGAAAAGTTTTTTGTTTTCTGTGAGCCATTACATATTTAGGCGCATTAAAAAGTTCATCAGAATTGAAGTAGTATACCCCTGATTTTATCAAAAGTGCTATCCGTGTCATGTCATCCTGATTTCTTGTAGCAAACTACTCAATTAGAAATTTAATAGGATGAAAATTAAATTTGAACAAATAAATCAATGATGACTATTAAGTTACATAAGCAATTCAGAAAATATTTTCTAGTTCATAGAACAATATTATTTGCCTGCACTTAATGAAATTTTCTCTTTTCATTTAATAAAATTAATAATAATAATTCACTAGAACTATTTTGATCTGTTTTATTGATGTGAACCAAGTTGTCAAAAACAAAAACTTTCTAAGTTATCGAACTCTTAACTTGATAGAAATAGAGATTTATTTAGAATTATAATAACTAAAAAATTGTATTTACAATTTGAAATAATAGACGATTAATAATAAAAGATATGGTTAAAGGAAAAAGAATATTTTACTACCTTAAGAAATGTTTAACAATTGCAACAAGAAACGGTTAGTTACCAACAAGAGAAATTTTCTATTACATACAGATTCATATATATCCTGTCAAATTAATTGTAATTATTTTTTTTTTCTAATTATATTTCGAACATGTTATCCAATTGTTTCACAGTGTATTATTCAAATCTATTTTAAATACTAGACGTTTCAGATAATGATAGATATGATAATCTTAATTAATACATTTTGTTAAACATACTCTTTCATCATACACTACATATTCATTTTATTAGAACTTTTTATAATCAAACTGACGGCAAGAATCGTATGACACTCTATCATAAAAATATGTTTTCGGTTTTTTTTTGTCATAAAAAATTAAGTAGACAAAGCATCTACTATCCAACCAACGTATACAATGTGACAATTTTTCGATGTTGTAAGCCTTTTTATTTAAATACTAATGTTAAATGAACATTACAAAATGTAGTCAATGTGATGTAACATCTAATGAAATGTGTTTATCCGTTTTAAAAATATAAATCTTTTTACAAAAGTCGCTAAAAATTTTAATTATAATCCATTTTCAAGACGGAATTTGCAATGTTTTCATCAAATTTTTGTTTAAATGATATTTTATTATAATTCATAATCGAAATAAAAAAAAAATGTACTCATAATATTATTTTGAATATTGTTCACCAAATGGATATCTAAAAGAAAATACATAAGTCAAAGAAGACTAGTATTGTCTATATTCATAAATTTCTCAGAATTTAATTTTCATCATATATTTCCACATAAGTTCAACAGACATATTTTATTTATGATGAAGTATAAATGCATGATGATATTCATCTAATTGATGAATAGTTGTCATCTTATTACTGTGCATATTATTTATGAAGAAAAAAAAGTATAAAAAGAATCATAATTTCATTAAATATGGATCAAGAAATGACGCACGATTCATATGATATTTGATTTCATTATAGAAGCATCTTTTAGAAGGTAAAAGAATAAAGTCTAATGAATTTTTCCAGTATGGTGTTTGAGTTAGACTTTGTATAGACTTAAGATTCATTTTATAGTATGAAGAAAAAATTATTAATGGTCGTCTATTGCGCATAAGTAATGTTTATTTATTCAAAGATGGTAATGCAGTGAATTATGGAATAGATTTAATACGTTATATCAAAAATACATGAAGTTATTACTCTCATTTTAAGAGGCTGAATTCCTACTGATAACAATTGCTGATGATTTTCATGAGCATTGAATACAATAGTTTGTCTAACCCAATTAAATGTATCAGTGGCTTTTTTGCATCTTTTCATAGATATGACTAAAGACTTCTTTTAATAAAAACAACTCTATTACCTTTCTGAGCTTTCTTTCTTTATTTTATTGTCCTTTACGAATTACTATGAAGAATAATAGTCTTCACATATAAAAATTCTCAGCTATTCGATTGATTTAGGATGAATAAGTTTAACTTACATCGAAAAACATTTGTTTTATGTAGAAAATCATCTATCTCTATCAAGAGATGTCCAAATAGAGCATAAGAAAAAAAAAACTAAGGAATGAATACTATCTACAATCATTGAAAGTTACACCTAGATACATCATTTGTATTTCTTAATTTATTTCAATGCTGAGTTTTCGACATCATCTATTATTTTAAATCAATTTTTTTTGCAAACCCTATTTGAAAACAAGCAAGAAGACTTCTTGTTTGTAAAAAACATATGACGACAATGAAATGTATCCTAAAATAGACAACAAAATAATAATCATAAAACTGATGTGTCACTTTTGTTTTTGGCTCAAGTACAATGAATACCAAAAATGTTCAACAAGGTTTATTTTCAATCTTTTTGATTCTAGAGATGTTAGAAAGAATCCAAATAGTGATTCGTGTATAGAATATAGTTTCGAATAAGAATATTAGAAAATACAAATTATTATCAGTTTCTCCAAGATAGGAACTCTAAAAAAATCAAAAGAATAATTTTTCGGCATCTAGAACAGAAACAATGTAGTTTCGTTTACACTACATAGAACCATTGAATATTGTTCTAGGAGCTAAAAAAAACTAGTCTTTTGGTTTTCTGAAGTTTTTGTCTTTGGAAACTTGATATTTGTTTTTACTTGCTTATTTCATTTTTCGAAATAATTTTTCTATTCGAATCATTATTTGGATTCTTTCTAGCGTTTACGACAGAAGAATAAAATAGAAAAGATGTTTGGTTGAATAATTCCTGATACACACTGTATATGACATCTGCTGGATTTAATTTATCATGCATGCGCAGATGTTGTAGTGAACTGCTTTTTCTTTTGTCTTATTTCATTGTATAATTCTTTTAGTTAAAATAAAATATCAATACTTTCTAAGGTAGCGATAAAATTTTTTTTTTATCTAAATAATTGTTTGATTGAGTCAAATTTGATAAAATTTACTTCTTTCCAATGAATAAAAAATATATTTAGATATAATATTTTATTGCAAAACAATATTTTATTAAAATGTTTAAAAAATCTTTTCGATTAAGACTTAATGACATTTTGTTCAATATGAGTTTCCATTGAATTTATGAAAAATTTCTAAGATTTGGCTCATTTACGTCCACTGAGGCATTCCTCTCTATACAATTAAGATAAGCAGACGTGAAAACATTTCTATTACCTTTCTTTTGTATTAGTTAGTAGATAGTTCAAAAGAATATTGTCTAATTATTATATCATACAAATATAAATAATAAAACTATGTCTTACACATGAAAAGTTGTAATAGAGCTGTTGCTTTTTTCTAATTAATATATTGTTTAGAACATTTTTTTAACCTTTTTCTTGTTAAATTATTTTGTAATATCGATAATTATTGTATTTAGAAGTTATTAGAATTATAAGAATATTAACTTTATTATTCATCTAATCTCAATGTATAGAATCGATAACAAAAGAAAATGAAAGAAAATTAGTGACTGACCATATCAATTATGCAATTGTCAACAGAAGTAAATCTATTTATATGAAAACCTTGATAAAATAATAGACAGAAAGATGATCATAACA